GCAATTTCGAGCAGCAACAGCATCATACTTGTGGTCGTGCCGCACCCTATTTTCACCAGGTACAACAGAGCCAACCTGAGCGCTTTACTTGGACCTTGGACCGCCACAGGAGGCTCGTCGAAGTGGTGGCTTCGTTGGGTGGTCTTGACCTGGCAACTCCGGAGAAAGTTTTTGCGATTATAAAGCAAGGGGAGGAGATTATTAGTTATCCGGATGTCTTCAATCATCTTTTCCAGCTTCATAGAATGCTGGGCACGGAAAAAGTGCCTTGCTTTCAGGCTCAACCAAGGAGCCCCAGTACTTCGTTCCATTTTTGACGGGTTTGAGAAAGTGAAAGTAGGACCAAAAGCCATGAAATTGGAACCAAAAGAGATGAAATTGGAACCAAAAGATTATTAGGATTTGCACAAAACATGATATGATATCAGGAGTTTCTTTTCTGTTAAACTGTATATATTGCTTTGCTAGATTCTTGGAACCTTAGTGCCTCTTTTGTTCTAAATGCTAGATTATTAGGATTTGTACAAAACATGATATGATATATAGCTTTTAATAAATTTGATGGTTGTTTTTAGTGTGTTATTGGAGACATGGCTGTGCCCTGTAAGCATCATTCATGCTTTATGTTGGGATTCTTCTTATGTTTTTGCTTCTATAGGTTCCCTGATGCATAGAATAATAGAAACTTGGAAGATAAGGAACTGCAACGGTAACAATTTTCATAAAAATCAATTAAAGCAAGCAGGTTACTTGTGCAACATGAGCAATTTCATAATCATTGACCTAATAGTGGGATTTCTTCAAGTCTTTCTGGCTCATTGTAGTTTGGAACAAGTAGGATTTTAGTTAACCATTCAAAAGATAAATAGGGCTAACCATCTATGAGTGCGCAATGATTTCCTTGATTTATGCTTTCTTCATACTTTAATTATTTTTCATAAGCTTTACATATGCACCTTTTGCTTTTGCTTTATTTTTATGTAACTCTTTAGCTTTCGTTTTTGTTTTATTCCCTGATCTGGAAGCAGCGGCATGCAGCTGCTTGGTCACGTGCTCATCAGTTTTGAAAAAAAAAGATTTTTTTTTTTTTTTTTGGGTTATTTGCTTGAATTGTTGAACTCTATGCATTTTAGTCTCAAATCTAATTATGTGGATTTATCCATGCATGGTCATATTATAATGTCTGAATATGGACTTTATAGATCCAGGACTCATGCGCGTGCTGTCTGCATTGATTGTAGAAATTGGAGATAGTTATGCTTCCATGCTTTATATATTGCTTCATTTAATGTTATTCATTCTCCAAGAGCTCTAATATTGTTCCAAGGCGAAGATCTAGATGCCAGAGATCTCTTTTATTTTAATAATAAGAATGATCTTTGCAGTATATGATTATGCGTGTAAATAAAGGCATAGAATAAACACTTGCAAATTAGAATTTAAGGCAAGCTTGGGCGATTGGTCAGATTAGGTATGTGATGAACAGGTTTTCACTCAACTTAATTAGTATAAACAAATTCAAATTTATGTAAGATGGACACAATGCACAATTTCACATGCACTTTAGTCAAATTACTTCTAGTTGCTTCAAAGCTGACAAAGGTTTATTCAAATCCAGTATGAAAAGGTAGTTGGTCAACAAGGAATCATCTGGTTGTTGCTTTGTAGGAAGAATACAGTTGTGCTTCAGTCATGGCCACCAGGACGCAAATATTTTATAGTCATGTTCCTTGCATTAAATATAGCAAAAGTGTGTAAACAAAGAGGAAAGTCCCATGAAAGTTTCAGTTAAGTCAGTTTCTCAACGTTTCCCCTAACCTTTTCTTTTACTTTTTATATTCAGTGCAATATATGAGTCTGTGCACTGTCACAGACCAAATGTGGGGAACACCAGCATCACCATTATCACTCTCACCTCATCTGCCTTCTTTTCCAATCTAATCAACACCTTCTCTCCCTCCTTCAATGGTGTTACTCAAGCAGTCTGCACATTAATCAGGTATGCCTTTTTCTCATTCAATCTGTTTTCCAACTTTGGTCTTAGTATGAGATGTAGAGGAAGTGCAGAGTGAAGATGACAGCAAGAGGTTGTTCTAGTTTGCCTTCTGTGTGTCACCGTATGTAGTTCAAGTAAAACAGGAAGGAACAAATGGAAGATTCAATTGTCTTATTCTTTCTTTGTCTTCTGTTTGTTTTACTTCCTCAATCCATTTTCTGTGCTTCCTTTACTCCTCTAGATGGGTTTTTCATTGACTGTGGGGGAAGTAACCCAACAAAATTCGATGATTCTCGGGTTTTTAAACCCGATACTAGTATTCCAGATGTGAGATTTCCGGCTTCTTCAGACGTTATTTCTGTGGCTGGGTTGGACAGTTCCAGTAGCCCAACTCTGTTTGATTCTGCTCGGGTTTTTACGAGAATCTCAGTCTATACTGTTAGGACCAGGCAGATTGGTCGGCATTGGCTGAGATTGCATTTTTCCCCTGTTCAGAATTCACATTATGATTTGAATTCTGCAGTTTTCTCAGTTGTAGCAAATGGAATCACTCTGCTTCATGGATTCTCCTTCTCAAAATCCAGTGCAGGGTCCTCCCATCTACTGAAAGAGTATGTCATTGAGGTTGAAGGTTCGAGCTCAAAAGATCTGGTGCTGACATTTTCTCCATGGAATGGTTCGGCTGCATTCATCAATGGAATTGAAATTGTATCCATGCCAAAGGATTTTTTCCCTTCCAGTATTGTCCCTGTTCCTCTGGGACCTGAAGTTGTGATCTCATCACAAATAGCTTTTGAAACTGCATTCAGAGTAAATATGGGGGGTCCTCTTCTGTCTCCCAAGAATGATTCACTGTGGAGGACATGGGAACCAGATCAGCCTTATATACTCAATCCTGCTTGTGCCCGCAAGGTTTTCATCAATCCAAATTTAGTCAAATACCCTCCTGGAGAATCAGTTGAGATTGCACCAAATTGGGTTTATGCCACAGCACAAGAAATGGCAGATGCGAATGTAACTGAGCAGAGGTTTAACATTTCATGGGCATTTCAAGTTGAAGAGGGTTTCAGTTATCTCATCCGACTGCATTTCTGTGACATTGTCAGTATGGTTCTTAACAGCTTAATCTTCAATGTCTACATCAACAATCAATCTGCACTGAACTCCTTCGATCTTTCTAGCAAGACTATGGCATTATCATCTGCATACTACATAGACTTCATCACTGATGTTTCCAAGGGCTCGAATCAGGTTCTGCTTCAAGTAGGTCCTCCCAATTTAAGAAATCTCCCCAGCAATGCCATTCTAAATGGGTTGGAGATCATGAAGATGAGCAATCCAAGTCAGAGTCTAGATGGAAATCTTGGAGTCTTGTATAACAATTCAAAAAACTCCGAGAAGAAAATATGGGTTGTTCTGGCAATCTCCTGCTTTTCAGCAGGTTTTGTGGTTTTGGTTGTTATCTTGCTTGCTTTCTTCCTGTATCTGAAGCATCCAAAGAAGTCTGAAGATCCCACCTCCACATGGCTGCCGCTTCCTACACATGTGGGCAACTCCGATTCCAAAGTCTCCATCTGCAGCTTTGCTTCAACCGCACAGTCTCATGGTTTGGGCCGGATCCTGTCATTCTCAGAAATCCGAGAAGCCACGAAGAACTTTGATGAAAGTTTGGTCCTTGGAGTGGGAGGATTTGGAAAAGTTTACAAGGGTGTACTGGATAATGGGGTTATGGTTGCAGTAAAGCGTGGGAATCCAGGATCCCGGCAAGGCCTAACAGAATTCCGGACAGAAATTCTGATGCTTTCCAGGCTCCGGCACCGTCATCTGGTTTCTTTAACAGGATACTGTGAAGAACAGAACGAGATGATCCTTGTTTACGAGTACATGGCCAGAGGTCCCCTCCGGAAACACCTTTACGGCTCCAATCTTCCCCCACTTTCCTGGAAACAGAGGCTTGAAATTTGCATCGGAGCTGCAAAAGGGCTGCACTACCTTCACACCGGAGCAGCAGACATCATCATCCACCGCGACGTGAAGACGACCAACATCCTTCTTGATGAGAATTTCACAGCCAAAGTGGCAGACTTTGGATTGTCAAAATTAGGCCCTTCTCTGGATCAGACCCATGTAAGCACCGCAGTCAAAGGAAGCTTCGGTTATCTTGATCCCGAGTACTACCGCCGGCAGCACCTGACTGAGAAATC